ATTTGAGTCTGTCTGTATGTATATTTTTGACCCTGTGTGAAAACAAAGAAAACCCCACTATAAATTTTAATAAGTCACCTCAATTATTGTATTCAAAAGCAATGAAGTTGTATGTCGTATATTAATTTCACATCATATAAACATTTACTTGCCTATAATTCAGTTCACTTTGTGGCCCTTTGACTTCTGGAGTGAGTTTGCGTTCTTGTTTTACTCTGATGGGAAATATGGAAAATAATCTTCCAACTATGTCAGTTTGATCAATGAGCTGTTCTGTCTTTAACCAAGAGGACATGTGTCTTTGATGAAGACTGAGAATGGTCTTTCGACTTCTGAGGCGGCCCAAATGTGCACGTATATTAACACACCTGGACAAGCAGATGCAGTATAAGACACAGGAGGGGTAGTTTTACCACAGCGATGTGTTTTAGTGTCGAGTCAGTGTAAACAGATCCTCCTGAAAACTGAGATTTGCTGATGAGGTGGGGAAAAGAGAGAAAGAACAAGAACAGAAGGACAGGTTGGCTGAGGGGAGAAGGTTGTGTTCATGTTCTTACCTTCGACTCAGGTCGGCCACGTGCTCCTGAAGCCAACTGCTGCTGGCCGCTGTGGAGAAGAAGGTGCATTTGATTTCAAAGATATCAGTCCAAGAAATTTAACACAACTTCATCAACAGAAGCCCAATCATCGTAAACTTTAGGACCCGTTTGCAAAAAGCTACGAACAAAAATAACCCTTAAGGATTGTTTGGCAAATCAATGGCAGAAAAATGTCTAGGTTTTCTTAGAAAACAAAAAACAAAAGACGTTTTATGCTTGAAAAATTCAAAGGTCAGAGTTAAAAACATTCATTTAAAAATGGATAAGCGAAAGAGAAACATCAGCCACTTTAAAAGAAAACTATAAAAATATGAAGACTGAGTCCGATCTGTAATTCAGGGGAAAATATTGTAAGCGTGAGTCTTTTTAGTGAGGTAAAGAAATAAATGAATAAATAAATAAATACCAGTAAATAAATAAAAACATAAATACAATACAATCACAAAAGAAAGAGGTATAATCATAAAATGTTTGCTACATTGTGCTCTAGGCAAAAAGCAGGTTAAGGAAGTCACTTAAGGTTTTATTTTCTAGTAATATTTATTTTATTATTTATTTTGTTTGTAAGACCATCTCACTTTTGTGTGCGTCTTGTGTTTCTATTGATATACCTTGCTGGTAGGATATATTGTCACAGCATCTGTAAGTTTCAGATAGTTTTAGTAGTATTATCTCCAGCAACATCAGGTTGTTGGTCATACTGAAAAATTCTCTCCTTGGCTTGGTGTCGGGTCAAGAACTCATCACATCCCATCCCGCTTCAATTCAGTGTGTCTATCATTGAACACGTGTGTGTGTGTGTGTCTTTGTTTGTTTTGCCAGCAAGACTGAGTCAGACTAAACAAACACTTTAATGGAGTGACTTATTTATGATCCGAGTGTTTGAAGAGGACATTTCCGAGTGTCGTTATGCTGCACGGTCTCCCAGAAACTGCATTACTGCTCTCTGGAACATGTTGCATAATGCACTTTCATAGTCCCCGATGGAATGTGTGTATGTGTGTGCGCGTGCGTTTAAGTATGTGTGCATGCATGTGTGTGTGTCTGTATTTATAGGTTGAACATACCTCGCTTCCTAAATGTCAGATGTTAAGTGATGTTGAGACTGTTCTGAGAGCAACAACAAACAGCTAAAACACATTGACCTCACGCATCAGTGAACTAACAATGAGTCAGCTGGAGGAAGCGGGGGAAAAAGGAAATCAAGACATAAAAAAAAAAGAGGAAGAGGAGGAAACTAATATATGAAGACATGCTTCAGGAAATTTCAGCATCCATAATTTTATATTCTAAAGCCCATTAATAATTTGGGACATACTTTTTGTAATAATTAAGCTTTGTCACAGCCAGACCCTTATTTTGGTTATTATCTACTTGCTTTATTTTAAAACTCCAAGTTGAAACCTCTTCTTATTTTTCTAATAAACTTTTAAATGCTGAATTCACATGATCCTCTTCTCCTGAACATAAAAGGTATAATTAGAAAACATTAAGTGTGAAATTAGACACTTTTTTGGGGGGGCAGTCATGACAGAAAAACCTAAGAAAGTATACTGAGTAATATAGAAGCTAATGATAGAGAATCTGCTGAGTTACTGGTTGCCATGGTGATTCACATCTGTTTGGGGAAGTGGAAAGGGAAGGGCAGCCCACAGCAGCCTTTAGGACACAAACAGACCTAAAGGAACGTAGTGGCCGTATGAACACTGGAAGTTGCATCAAAAAAGTTCTTAAACCATGAGACACAGGCAGGACTGATAGCCACACATGTTATTATTCATGTTCCTTCAGTGTGTAACTTTGGAGATATGAAACATTAGAAAAACTCTTCACTTAAAGTTTTGCAGAAAATTCTTATCTAAGATACAATGAAAGTCATTGAAAGTTTAGATGTGTGCACTTTAGAGAGGGTGGAGAAGAAAAACAGGTTCTGTTGAGTTGAGACTCACTGGGTAAAGAAAACTCAAGTTACCTACCTTTAAAATTTAAACCGTACAGAAAAGTAAAAACTGTGAAAATATAGTTTTGTTTCCAAAACCAAAACTACTATCTACCAAAGTTAAGTCAAGTACTCTGGACGGATTCAAAAGAAAAAAAAAGAAAAAAACTTGTTGACACGTTTCGTCTTTAATCCAAAATACTTCTTCAGTCTGAGGAGCTGCAATAAACTCAGTCTTATAAACAGCCCCTTCTCATAGTGGATCAACCAGTTTGTTGTTGACATCCAAAACTAGCTGTTCACATGATAAATGAGGAACATCAGCCTAATGACCGATTGTTAGTGCTCTGATGGTCGCTTGCTATTCACTCAGCCCTCTGTGGATAGCAATGTAATAATAATTACACATTTTGCAATTTTATTTTAATATTTTTTTTACTGAAATGTGGAGTTTATTTAAACAAAAGACCCTTAAAGAGTTAAAATAAAAATTAAAAAGTCATTTAAATTTGATATTTCTATTTCAGGCTGAGATAGTTCTAAAACAATTTTTTTTGTAGGAAAAAAAAAAACAGTATTTTTAAGCAGTTAAATAAGGTGGATGATTTTCCCCTAGGAAACATAAATGGTCATGAAGTTAACGGACAATACAAGGGTTAAGCAAGTTGAGCATTCCATGAAGGAATCTCCAAAAAACTAAATTTTAATTGTGTAAAAATGTTACAACCAAACAAAATAATTTTTTTTTTAAACAAAACAGTTCATTCATGTAAAGTCCAACTTCTTAGGACCCATTTAAACTTTGAATGAGGTTTTTACTGTGAAGTATGATTGAGCTATAGAGCTCCAAAGAGGACTGGGCTTTTCACTCAATTCACCATAATCCCATTGTTCTCTAAGGGGATTTCTTCGCTGTTGTGTATTTTTTCAAATTTAATCTACTTTGAATGGCGTACTGCTACCAAAAGTCATAGCGCACCATTACTAATCAAACCACGTTTTGATGTATGTTTTGCAAGGGGTTATCCAAAAGTGTGGGATGAGCAGTAACTCAAAAATTGAAATGGAAAAGGAAAAATGGCATGACAATGACCTAAATTAAATCTTCTGGCCAACATTAACTTTAAATATTTGAGGTGTGAGACAACTATAAAAAAAAGGTTTAAAACGATCATAGTGTTTATCAGCATTAAATTCCCAACTGCAACTTTAGGCAGGTGCTGTTAAGGTGTTTAGGTGTGAATTGCCTATCTACATATGTGTGTGTGTCTTATCTCACTCAGCCTTATAACCCGAATCTCTCACTCACTGCTGTTTGAATTGAGAAAGCTCCTCAGATGAGAAGCGAAACGTCTTCTGTTACAAATAAAGTCCAGTTGTTTTTGTATTGAACGCTTTTTGAACTTTAGGCAGGGTTACACATCATCTTTCTCTGTGTAGTACCAGCAAACTTTATACTAAAAAATACAGCTTTTCAGTTATTTACTAAATAAATATTGAAATCATCAAGGAAAAAAAAACAGATCCTTCAAAAACAATTTTTTTTTTTTTTACTGACAAAAACTGTGACGTGTGATCTGGAGTGGTGTGACTGGGAAAAATGGCATCTCTGATCTGAACCCAAGCAGTGTTCTATAGTTGGACTTCTGTGCTAGTCATAGTTTGTCCATCATGAACACCATGTTTGAACATAAGGGTGTTCATAAGTGCACTTGGCATCAGGACGCCCTAGGTCGTAGATCGATGATTACCTTTGTAGTCATGTCATCTGATTTGCGTCCGTTTGTTTCAGACATTCAGGTGAAAAGAGGAGCTGAGCTAGCAATTGATCACCACCTGGGGTGAGTTGGGTCAGATGGTGGGGGAAGATGGCAGACAGATCCGGTAGACCCCAAAATGTAGTGAGGGTTTGCTGGGAACACCTGGCAGAAGAACCTGTCAGAAAGATCTTCAACTCACACCTCCGAGAGAGCTTTAACCACATCCCAGCTAAGGCAGGGGATATTGAGTCTGAGTGGGCCATGTTCCGCACATTAGTTGTTGAAGTGACTGCCTTGAGCTGTGGCCACAAGGTTGTAGGTGCTTATCGCAGTGGTCATCCATGAACTTGGTGGTGGACACCCTGGGTTAGGGAGGCTGTCAAGCTGAAGAAGGAGTCTTATTGGGCCTTGTTGGCCGGTGGGACTCTGGATGTAGCTGAGGGGTATCGGAGGGCCAAACAGTCTGCAGCCTTGGCTGTTGCTGAGGTAAAAGCTTGGATGTGGGAGGAGTTCAGTGAGGCCTTGGATATAGACAGTCAGTTCCAATGAGATTCAAGCAAACCATCAGGAGGCTGAGGAGAGGAAAGCAGCACTTGACTAACACCGTGTTCAGTGAAGGTGGGGTGCTGTTGACCTCAACCAGTGATGCCATAGGGAGGTGGAAGGAATACTTCTGAGACCTTCTTAACTCCAACAGCACATCTTCCATGGAGGAAGCTGACTAGAGGGGCTTCGGGTTTGGTCTGTCCATAACTGTGGCTGAAGTCACTGAGGTGATTAAAAAGCTCTGCAGTGGCAGGGCTCCAGGGCGGATGAGAATCACCTTTATTTCCTTAAGGCTCTGGATGTTGTGGAGATGTCTTGGTCAACACGCCTTTGCAATGTTGCGTGGACATCGGGGGCAGTGCCACTGGATTGGTGGTTCCCCTCATCAAAAAGGGGGATGGGAGGTTGTTATCTAATTATAAGAGCATAACTCTATTTCGCCTCCCAGGTAAGGTCTACTCAGGGGTAATGGAGAAGCGATTCCGATAGCTGGTGGAACCTCAGATCCAGGAGGAACAATGTTCTGTCCTGGCTGTGGAACACTGGATCAGCTCTTTACCTCACTAGGTTTCTCAAGGGGTCATGGGAGTTTGCCCATCCAGTCTAAATGTATTTTGTGGACTTGGAAAAGGCTTTCAAGCATGTTCCTCAAGGTATACTGTGTGTGTGTGTGTGTGTGTGTGTGTGTGTGTGTGTGTGTGCGTGCGTGTGTGTGTGTGTGTGTGTGTGTGTGTGTGCGTGAGGAGGGGGGGTGCTCAGTGAGTATGGGATTGGGGGTTCGTTGCTATGGACTGTTCAGTCCCCATACAAGCGGTGCAAGAGTTTGGTTCACATCGCCAGTAGTAAGTCAGACCACTTTAGGGTGGGAGTTGGGACTCTGCCAAGACTGTCAGTTGTCACTGATTCTGTTCATAACTTTTATGGACAGAATTTCTCAGTGCAGCCAGCGGGCAGAGGGAGTCCTGTTTGATGACCTAAAGATTCCATCTCTGCTCTGTTGGTGTCATCACACCATGATCTCCAGCTCTCACTGGAGTGGTTCGCAGCAGAGTATAAAGTGGCTGGAATTAGAATCAGCGCCACCAAATCTGAGGCCATGGTCCTCAGTCAGAAAAGGATGGATTGCTCACGTCAGGTCGAAGGTGAGGATCTGCCTCAAGTGGAGGAGTTCAAGTATCTTGCGGTTTTGTTCACGAGTGAGGGAAGAATGGAGCATGAGATTGACAGATGAATTGGTGTACTGTCTGCAGACTCTGTGCAGGTCCGTGGTGAAGAGGGAGCTCAGCTGTAAGGCAAAGCTCTACGTTTTCCGGTCAGTCTACGTTCCTACCCTCACCAATGCCCACAAACTTTGAGTGGTGACAGAGAGAATGAGATCACGGATACAGGAGGTTGAAATTAGTTTCCTCTGCAGGGTAGCTGTACTCCCTTAGAGATATGGTGAGAAGTTATCCGGGACAGACTATGAGTACAACTGTTGCTCCTCCACATCAAAAGGAGCCAGTTGAGGTGGTTTGGGCATCTGGCAAGGATGCTTCCTAGGCATCTCCATAGGGAGGTGCTTCGGGCATGCATGACTGGGATGAGACCCGAGGGAAAACCCAGGATACACTGGAGAGACCATGTCTCTTAGTTGGTCTGGGAATGCCTTGGAGTCCTCCCAGAAGAGCTGGAAGAGGTGGCTGTGGAACGAGATGTCTAGGCCTCCTTGCTCAAGCTACTGTCCCAACGACCCAACGTCGAAACAAGTGGAAGATAATGGATGAATGAAAAATGAGTCAGAACATCATTTCACTTTGTCACCTTAACCAGGGCTGTTCAATTAGTGGCCCAGGGGTCACATCCAGCCCACGCATGAGCTTAGTTCAACCAGTCAATTCAATTTTCAATTCAGTTTATTTATATAGTGCCAAGTAAAAACAGAAGTTATCTCGGAGCACTGAACAAAAACATTTGTATACAACAGTGAGTTCATTTAAAATAAAATTAGTTTTCATATTAGAAGGAAAAATCAATAAGAGAAACAGAACAAATAGCTAATATTTCCACCAAAAAGGTGATCCTTTTATACTGCTTTCCAACGAATTCATTAAAAATGAAACAATAATTTTAAGCCTGAATCAAATTTACATGACATTCATTTTTGTCTGGCTCCTGAGAAGTTCACTTTCAGTAACTGTGTCCCACTGTGCAATTTAGTTGAATAGCCCTTACCCTTAACTATAATAAAAAACTAACTTCAGTTCCCCAAACTCAATAATAAAAACTGCTTCTTTTCTTTTGTGATAAAAACACAGACATTAGATATGATTATTACAGGGTAGACAGTACCTTCAGAAACGTAGGCAAATGGTTTGTTCCTGACAGACAGCAAAGTCAAAAGATTAAAGAAGAGGGCAACGAAGGTTCCGACCAATAGCCGGCCACTGTGGAGAAAAACAAGAAGTGATTTAGTGAGGATTGAAGATTTTGTGCTTATTTTTCATTCAAACACATTATAAGTTATCCAACACTTGGGTGCTATCATTATATCACATTATTTGTTTCTAAATTCTATAACATTCTTCAATGGTAACGGGTTCTGGACAAAACTGCAGGAAGGCCAGTAAAAAAAGCAAAACAAAGCAAAAAGAAAACAACCCCTGTCCTTTTTCAGCTATGCCTGTGGAACCAGGGCAAAACGGAAATGGTAAATGGACTGTACTTGTATAGCGCCTTTCTATCTAATCAAGATACTCAAAGTGCTTTACAACACAATCTGTGCCCTCATTTACCTCTACACCAGGGGTGTCAAACTCACTTACAAAAGGGGTCCAAAATTAAAACCTTTTTTCAAACTAAGGGCCAATTTCAGAAACTACATTAACTCAAATCAGATACCCAAAATACCTAATAGGGCCAAGGACACATATGCACAGAGGATCGAGGGTCAATTCATCTCAGAAGACCCACGGAGCACGTGAAGGGGCATTAAGTGTATAACAGATTATAAAGGTAGAAGCAAACAATGCGCCAAAGACTGCCTGATGCTCTCCACAAGTTATATGCACGCTTTGGAGACCTGAACAGACACCCAGCACCAGACTCACCTCAGCACCAGATGAAGAGATTCTCAGCGTGACCACAGCAGAACTAAGGAGTACTTTCAGGAGGATTAATCTGCACAAGGCAACCGGCACAGACAACATCCCCGGGAAAGTGTTGAAAGAATGTGCCAATCAGCTCTGCGAGGTGCTGGCTGACATCTTTAACACCTCTTTTACCCTGGCAACAGTTCCCACCTGCATGAAGACTGCTACCATCATCCCAGTCCCAAATAGCTCTACAGCGACTGGTCTGAATGTCTATTGGCCAGTTGCCGTCACCCCGATAGTCACTAAATGCTTTGAAAAACTGGTCATGACCCACATCAAAACAACCATCAACGTCAACGAGGACCCTCATCAGTATGCATATCGCGAGAACCAATCAACAGAAAATGTCATCTCCTCTGTGGTCCACACGGCTCTCACCCACCTCGAGCAGGACTCCTACGTCTGTATGCTATTTGTGGACTTGATATATCTGCCTTCATCACCATGATCCCCCAAACCCTGATGGACAAACTATTCATACTAGGACTAAGCCCCTCCATTTGCAACTGGGCCTTAGACTTCTTAACAAACAGACCTCATTTTGTGAGGATCCACAACTTTTCCTCCTCCACCATAACCCTCAGCACTGGCTCTCCTCAGGCATCTGTGCTGAGCCCCCTCCTATTCACTCGGTTCACATATGATTGTGCATGTACCCATCCAGGCTGTCATATTGTAAAGTTTGCAGATGATACAGCAGTGGTGGGATGCATCACAAACAATGATGAGTCCAGCTACAGGCAGGAGGTGGTACACCTGGAGAGCTGGTGCAAAGAAAATAACCTTCACAGCAATGTGAAGAAGACAAAAGAGATGATCGTGGACTTCAGAGGAACAAACACACCTACACCCCCCTGAAATTAAAAGGATCTGTGGTGGAAGTGGTCTCCAGCTACAAGTACTTGGGTGTACATCTGAATGACAACCTCAACTGGGGCAACAACCCCACCAGCCTGATCAAGAAAGCTCATCAGAGACTCTACTTCCTCAGGCAACTGAGGCGAGCTGGTCTGGGAAGCTCAGTCCTCACCTCCTTCTACAGGTGTGCAGTGGAGAGCATCCTGTGCACCAGCATCAACGTGTGGCATGGAGGCTGCACAGCTGCAGAAAGAAAAGCTTTGCAGAGAGTGGTGAAGGCTGCACAGAAGTCTGTTGGAGTCAGCCTCCCCACCATCCCAGACATTTACACCTCTAGATGCAGGAAGAGGGCCACCTGCATCATGAAGGACCTCACTCACCCAGCACACACACTTTTTGTCCCACTCCCCTCAGGAAGGAGGTTAAGGAGCATTAAGTGCAGAACCACTAGACTGAGGAACAGCTTCTACCCTGAGGCTTAGACTCATGAATCTCTAACCAGGATAATCACTGTGAAAAAAATTACATCATGTTGCTGCTGATCTGCTTCATGTTGATGTGTTTATGCGTGCTCATCTGCTCACACAGACTCATGTTCGTGCTACTGTTCGGTATAATGTTTTTATGCTACTAATGTTTAGTGTACAGGTCCTTCTAAAAAATTAGCATATTGTGATAAAGGTCATTATTTTCCATAATGTAATGATAAAAATGAAACTTTCATATATTTCAGATTCATTGCACACCAACTGAAATATTTCAGGTCTTTAATTGTTTTAATACTGATGATTATGGTATACAGCTCATGAAGACCCAAAATGCCTGTCCCAAAAAATTAGCATATCATGAAAAGGTTCTCTAAACAAGCTATTAACCTAACCATCTGAATCAACAACGTAACTCTAAACACCTGCAACAGATTCCTGAGGCTTTTAAAAACACCCAGCCTTGTTCATTACTCAAAACCGCAATCATGGGTAAGACTGCCGACCTGACTGCTGTCCAGAAGGCCATCATTGACACCCTCAAGCAAGAGGGTAAGACACAGAAAGAAATTGCTGAACGAATAGGCTGTTCCCAGAGTGCTGTATCAAGGCACCTCAGTGGGAAGTCTGTGGGAAGGGAAAAGTGTGGCAGAAAACGCTGCACAACGAGAAGAGGTGACCGGACCCTGAGGAGGATTGTGGAGAAGGGCCAATTCCAGACCTTGGGGGACCTGCGGAAGCAGTGGACTGAGTCTGGAGTAGAAACATCTAGAGCCACCGTGCACAGGCGTGTGTAGGAAATGGGCTACAGGTGCCGCATTCCCCAGGTCAAGCCACTCTTGAACAAGAGACTGCGTCAGTAGCATCTCGCCTGGGACTGCTGCTGAGTGGTCCAAAGTTATGTTCTCTGATTAAAGTAAATTTTGCATTTCCTTTGGAAATCAAGGTCCCAGAGTCTGGAGGAAGAGAGGAGACACAGAATTCACATTGCTTGAGGTCCAGTGTCAAGTTTCCACAGTCACTGGGGTGTCATGTCATCTGTTGGTGTTGGTCCACTGTGTTTTATCAAGCGCAGGGTCAATGTAGCTAGCTATCAGGAGATTTTGGAGCACTTCATGCTTCCATCTGCTGAAAAGCTTTATGGAGATGAAGATTTCATTTTTCAGCACGACCTGGCACCTGAGATAGGCAAACTATCTCAATTTTTTTCCTGGGATGTAATGGAAACAAAGACGCTCTGTCTCCCTCCCCACCCCCTCCCTTCCCCAAGGTCATGGACCTGTGACAGAGCTCAACCGAGCTGACTGATAAACAAACACCTCTTATCAGGACTATGGCTAGGGGGGAGCTCTGGCTACGACCTTCCCTCAAACTCAATGCCTCCACTGGCCTCCCTCACCTCCCCTGGTGCAGCAACCTAGGAGATGTGAAGGTGCCAAGGGCTGCGTCACTCACCTGGCAGCTGTGCTGGGACCCCCATCCCCTACCCACTCAACACGCAAATGTATTATGTTTATTTATGTTGCTTTGCTGTGGTAGATTTTTTTGATGTCTCAAACCGTGCCCTGTCTAGGACACAGTGTGAGAGATCCTTTTTTTATACCTCTCTCCTTATGTTTTCTTCCCTTTTTCTTATCTAAGGAACAGAGGCAGCACATCTTAGAAGCTGCAGCCCCTGTACACTTCTGTCCATCTTTAGGACGGCTGTATAGATAATAATTTCATTGTACTTCACTGTGCAAGGATAATAAATGCATTCCGATTCTGATGTGATTACCTGAGGCATTCACTGTGTGTCAAAAACCCACCCCCAAGAAGGGTGGGTGTTGGGCAGCTATATGAGCACCAAGGTATGTCAAAGGAAAATGTTATTCAGTAGCAGGAAGTCTGCCAAAATAAAATATATAAAAAAATGTAAATTATAATAAAAGTACACAAATTAGCCACTCTTGTGTATAAGCAGCAGAGTTCAAAGCGTGAAAAAAAAAAAGTAGTGGCTTATACACAGGCCATTATGGTATATACATACAGTTCATCCAGAATATATTCAGTCTCCACCAAACTCCACCCAGAAAGGTCCCTGGCCAGGATTTGATTTAGCGACCTTCTCGCTGAGAGGCAACAGCTTCTACCAACTGAGCCACCACAAAATTGTCTACACACAGTAACCTATTATGACAATGTGAAAAGATTTTTATATCTTTGTAAATTGCAAAAATGCAAATACAAATTGCAAATGCAGAACAACATCCACATAGCATGAGTCTGTCACTGCCATGCCTCACTGTAGGGATGGTATTGTGCTGGTGATGAGCGTTGCCTGGTTTCCTCCAAACATGACTCTTGGCATTCACAACAAAGAGTTCAATCTTTGTCTCAAAATACCAGAGAATTTAGTTTCTCATGGTCTGAGAGTTCTTCAAGTGCCTTTTGGCAAATTCCAGATGGGCTGCCATGTGTCTTTTATTAAGGAGTAGCTTTCATCTGGCCACTCTACCATACAGGCCTGATTGGTGGATTGCTGTAGAGATGGTTAAACTTCTGGAAGGTTCTCCTCTCTACAGAAAGGACTGTTGGAGCTCTGACAGAGTGACCATCAGGTTCTTGGTCACCTCCCTGACTAAGGCCCTTCTTCTCTGATCGTTCAGTTTAGACGGCCAGCCAGCTCTAGCAAGAGTCGGGGTGGTTCCAAACTTCTTCCATTTACGAATGATGGAGGCCACTGAGCTCACTGGGACATTCAAAGCAGCAGAAATGTTTCTGTATCCTTCTCCAGATTTGTGCCTCAACACAATCCTGTCTTGGAGGTCAACAGAAAATTCCTTTGACTTCATGTTTGGTGTTTGTGCTCTGACATGCACTGTCAGCTGTGGGACCTTCTATAGACAGGTGTGTGTTTCCAAATCAAGTCCAATCAACTTCATTTACCACAGGTGGACTCTATTTAAGTTGTACAAACATCTCAATGATGATCAGTGGAAACAGTATCCGAGCTCAATTTGGAGCTTCATGGCAAAGGCTGTGAATACTTGAATGTGATTTCTTAGCTTTCTAATTTTAATAAATGTGTAAAAACCTCAAAAGATCTTCACATTGTCATAATGGGGTATCTTGTGTAGAAATTTGAAGAAAGAGATTACCGGTAATTTAATACAATTTGGAATAAGGCTATAACATGCGTAAAATGTGGAAAAAGTTAAGCGCTGTGAACACTTTGCAGATGCACTGTATATATATTTGTGTGAGTACACACGTGCACGCACTCTTTGTGTTTGAATGGGTTTTCTCCGGCTTATCAGATTTCCTCCTGAAGACTAAATACATGCATGTTTAAGCCGTCTTCAGACCCAGGCCTCCCTTGAAAAATAAATCTATGATCTCAGTTGAATTTGTCTGGTTAAATAAAAAGTAAAATAAAAATTGTATTTAAAAAAAAAAACCTCCTGTAGATTTGTATGTAATAATCAGTAAGATCTGATGTAACTGTAGATCTAGAACATTTGTTCTAGATCCTCAAATACTTACTGATATTGATTTAGATATATGTCTGGATAACAATATGCTATTGAAATAATGTGACTTTTTGGATACTGGACTTGATTTTAAATGGCAGCTATCCACTTTGATATTGGCCCCACTCAGTATTGCAATTAGCTTGACAAGCTAAATATTTACACACAAAGATTTAATTTGATCTTAGACGTCCCCAAAACTGAATGAATAACATCTTCAAGACTTGTCTAAAACACACAAATTAATACACTAAATGCACAACATAATTTATTCATGGGTGTAAAAACTGTTTTATGCAATCACTGCCTACACAAAGATTAGATTAGACAGAGGGAATAGAGGTGTTGCTCCACCACCCTCCTTTTAGCAGCCAATCATGTCCATTCAGACAAGAAGAAAATTGATCTGAGGCTAATGGGTTTAAATGAGTATAAATCTCATCATTATTCTGTTTGATACTGGAGTTGCGAGACGAAATCTGAAAGGGACATCTGTGTTTCAGTAAAACTGTCAGGTGAATCAGATTCTTAAAAAACTAATTAAGACAACTTTTCATTCAGTTGATGGAAACATCGCTCTCACCTTAAGCATCTATTAAAATAACTCTGCAGGTGTGGAAAAATACAACCTATCAGTGAGGAAAAGTGAACAGTGAACGTGTCAGTCGTCTAAATCCGTAGCTGTTTGTTGGCCTGTCTGACCTAGTTGTTTGGGATGTTCTGTTCTCACAACAGCTGGCTCTGTGAGTGTGTTTTCCCCTCAGAGACACACAAGAGGATATCATGTTTGTTTATTTTACATTGTAATGTGGGAATCTGTGTGTGTGTGTGTGTGTGTGTGTGTATGAATAATACTTACGTGTGGACCTCAGGCTGCTCCATGAAGCGCTCCACACTAACAAAACAGAAACAAACAGAGTAAACAACAGTGGCCGGGTGGGACTGAGCTGAACATGTGTGTGTTTGTCTGCGTGCTACACGGAGGGGGAAGGGAAAGGAGGTGATGGAGACACATGAAATGAACGAGAAGAGACAAGGAGCAAACAAAAGGAGAGAGAGAACAGGATATTCATTTATACACATGAAGAAGCAAAATGACAGCCACTTCTTTCATTTGAGCCAGCATCAAATGTAGATCACCAAGAGAAACATGAAGATCAGACGAAACAGCAAAACCTGTCTGCTGCCTTCGGCACAAAACAGAAACACCTGCTAACACCTACAATATTGTTCAAACTCCTGATCCATCACTCATTTCTCTTAAAGTTGTCTTGAAATGAGAAACGGATCAAACCTTTCAAAAGTTCTCCAGACTTTTTGCAGGTGTTTACGGTTGTTTTGTTTTTTTTTCCCTGCACTGAGGGAACGCTGCAGGTAATGAAGGCCAGAGAGCACACGCTGTAACTGCACTGACGATGTTACAAGTGGGAGGAGATACAAGAAGGTAGCACACCAAGGAGGGATTTATAAATGAAGATGCACCAGTGTGAGAGCCTACATGTAGATAATGATGACCAACTGACCAATGAGTGCAGTGCAGTGATGGGTACAGTAGTTACAGACAGAATCCAACATCTGCAAGCAGCTGGCAGGAGCACTCATGTACATAATTTCACCATAATCAACAGCTGGCAGAAAAGTTTCAGTTACAAGTCGATTTCTAGCATTCAGTGTTAGGAGTATTGGGAAGAATATAAAGTTTCAAACAAGCACTAGAATTATTTTAGAATAATTAACAGGCTAAAGATCACAAATAGAGATAGTCTCTCAGTGGGTTGTGACTCACTGCCAACTCAAAATTGCAACAGAAAAAAGGCAAATTTTCAAGTTGGAATCTCATGGAATTTAGATTGTTGCATAAAACGGTCAATGAGCCATGCAGCCGCATTTTGCACAGGTTAATTTTTTTAAATTATGTATTTCTTTACTCCATCTACATACCTTTGTACCTATGCTTTGATAAAAGGTGGATACACTTTGTACCCACCTTGACAGCCATCCCTAGTTGCAATGAGTCTACTGGGGTACACTGCTGAAATGAAGATAGGCAGATTTGCACCAGTTTGTTTTTTTTCTATTTACCAAGAGCGTGGTTAAACCTTCAGACTTGAGATGTTCAGAGCAGCAGCCCAAATTTTTTTTTCTGCTGTAAGCAGAGCTCCTATGTAGGTGTCACAATACACTTCCAGTGCTCTAACATTAATTCTTTCTTACAAATGAGACAATTGTGTCTCAACAGGACTAACCTGCATAAATCAAGGGAATGAAATGAGAATTATGGAAACTAAACTGAGACGGGTTTAAAATGGGTTTTAGATGCCAGCTGCAACTAATGTAAGAGTAAGTTTGTGGCAATAATTTTCCCAATATGTTCAATATTTAAACTAGAGGACTGCAAGCCTTTGCAACTCAGGTGATATAAATTGAGGTGCCCTACAAATGTTTCAAGCAGTTTTGTAGATTCCCTTGCAAATACCGTTTGCCAACTCAGTGAGATACTGGAAGATACCTGTGTATGTGTGTGAAATTGTAGAGTGTGGGTTATTGGGCACATCCTCCCCTCCCCGAAAACTGACCTCAAGACAACCCCAAACCTGATGCCCAGAAGTGAGTGTGAGGGTGTAACACTGACACACAGAGACATGGGTGTTCCTATGACCTCAGGAGTTCAGAAGCTCGCACACACAATGACACACACTTGTAAACTTATTTTAAAACAGGAACTTGCTCTCAGACACTTTTGTACAATTAGTTGGGAGTTACCAAATTCTGTTCTTTGGCTTTAAATTCATAAATGTTCATAAAATAAAATAAAATAAACTGGTTAATGTAAATTGAAATAAAGGATTTTTTTTCTTTTGTTAATTTATATACATTCATTTTCATATTATATATCTATATCTACACAGACAGACATGTATATACATATACAGTAGTTTCTCGTTTATCGCGGGTGTTAGGTAACAGCCCCCCCCCCCCTCCGGCTATAAGTAAAAAACGTGAAATATGGATAGTAGTGCAAGAGGAGTGCAGCAGGACATCAAAGGGTTAACCCTTCATGCAGCCGATGCAGCACGGAGCAGAAATGTACTTCTTGATCAATTACACTGTAACAACTGATGTTAGAAGTTCTAAAATTATTAAAAATAGCTTTTAACACTTTTATATTCTGTAATTATGATGATTTTACAAAGTAACATACTTTGAATTTTAAGTTGGAAGACAAAAGTAGATCGGAGCATCTGAACAGCAAAGGGTTAACCCTTCACAAAGCTTCTGTAGCAAAGAGGAGAAATGCGGGGTGGCAGAGAGCAGAGATCATGACACGCTGCAGTAGGGAGCTTCTCCCTGCACCTGTGGTCTGCACACAGGTGCTAAATGATTTTAAATAATTTATTTTAAACAAACAATCCATGCCGTTTGTGCAGCTCATCCATCAATCAGCCAATTGTGTGTCATGTCCAATCTTACTTTGAAAAACCGCAAAAGAACAAGTCTTCAAAAATCAAACAGTGAAGAAGCGAGGGACTACTGTATGTATGTTTATATATATATATATATATATATATATATATATATATACACATACATTAAATTAACAAGATAAGAAGCAAACTGAAAAAAGTTTTTTAAAAATACATGAGAGATCCTAAATTAAAGCTTAAATACAAACAGACATAAAAATGCTTTAAAATAAAACTTGCTTCTTATTACTTCGTGATTGATATCACACGAGCTGTGGAGAGAAATATTTTACCTTTCCTTCAGGATGAACAAGGCTCCCAGCTGTACAAGAACAGTGGAGGCAAAAACTGCCAAAACCTCCAGTCGTTCAAACCTGAAAAGAAAAACACAAATTATAAAGAAATGTAAACAACACATCCACGGTTAGAAAAAAAAAAAAAAACAGTTAAAATAAGAACAACAAAAAGATAACTAAAAACTATATTAGTGATTCTTGGCTAAAAACAAAATCTTTACCTGCTTGATATGCAGGAAAAGTTCAAAGTGAATGGTTCTTTCTTTCTTTCTTTCTTTCTTTCTTTCTTTCTTTCATATATATATATATATATATATATATATATATATATATATTGTTGTTAAACGTTAGCTATATAAAGACTAAACTTCATTGTCAGTCCATTTCTCCTCAGCTTTTACAGTGAAAATTTCCCAAAATCTTTCCATTTATGAAGCTTAGTTTCCAGAAAAGCACTCCTATAATTTTTAGATGTTAGATCTCAAATTAAATGCTAGCTCAGTCATATTTCATAGTTAAAACATCATTTCAACATTAAATAAGTCACAGACATTTAGATTTTAAATGACTGAGCTGACATTTTGATACGTTTAAGAATAATTCCATTCAAAAAGTTAATCTTTAATAGGTTATAGATTCAGGGCCCACAATTTAAACGACTTCAAATGTTTATTAAGTTTATTTTTACATAATTTGGGCTTCCAGCTCATGAAACCCACGAAAACAGGGTTTCAGAAAACTTTGCATAATGTGAAGACAACTAAATGTTGATGGGAAAGGTAAATGGTAAATGGACTGTACGTATATAGCCCTTTTCTATCTTAAGACACTCAAAAGCTCTTTACACAACAATCTGTGCCCTCATTTACCCGTTCAGACAGCACTCTACTAGATCTGTACAAAGCTAATTGAAGAAATCATTCTAAAGAGACTAATCAGTGATTTATCACACCCATACACCGATGGGACACACATCAGAGGCAATGAGGGGTTCAGTGTCTTGCCCAGGGACACTCTGGCATGTGAATGCTGGTGGATTCGAACCCTCAACTCTTGCATAGTAGGATGACTGCTCTAACCATTCAGCCACAGTTGCCTCTTAAATAAAGGTGAAACAGGAAAGGTGAAGCATCCACATTTGCCTCCACCCTCATTTGCCCCATTGTGGTCCCATAAGCAAGGTCCTTAACTGCCCTTGCTCTCTGGGCGCCTTAGACGGTAGCCCTCTTAGACGGTAGCCCTCCTAGATGGTAGCCCTC